GAAATTAACTCGACAAAGTCAATTAATGTGTTGTGGCTATTTAATAATAAGTGACATTTTTTCGACTGTTTTCCTGCCCCTCTGTCCTCACATTGTTTCTGTGAGTGTTGTCGCACTCAAAGTCGCACTAAAACCCTCACACACAGTCCAACTGACCTGTGGCCCCATGCAGCAGCCCACACACACATACATTCACATGTGCACGCACATTCCTCAGTATGCTGCTGAACATTTTATGAGGCGGGAAGTTGTATACAAACTGAATTTGCCATCCAAATAAATCTTTTGAGGAGTCAAAGTGAAAGAAATATTACTCTTTTGCCGTCTTTTGAATTTGACTGTATTTTTACAATGTCACAGTTTTTCTCAAATCTCTGGTCTTGCTCAAAAACAAAACAAATGGAAAATTATTATAGTCATTATTATTAAACTGTCTGTAATGATACTACAGTCCTTAGCATTGTCCTCCACTCTACTCCAGTGTAAGGCTCTTTGGAGCCCTCAGGCCAAAGTCTAGTTCAATGAGATGTGCGATGTTAGCAGGTTGAGTCAGGCTGCAGGCCCTATAGGCCATATGTCACACTGTGTCGACCACACAGCCACTCCAAGAGCAATGAAAAAAACACCTTCAGTATCAGTGTAAAACAAACCACATGTTCGCTCTGTTTGTGAGCTGTATTCAGCCTATAGAACTGGAACAACTGCAGCCCAATGACACATGGTATCAATCACTGCATTTTCATTCTCATGCACTTGTTAATACAGAATGACAGATCATTTCTGTTTTGCTGAAACATCAGTTTCCTCTCCCCTCCCAGATCAGTGCTGTAGATCATCAGTGCTATAGAATCCGCACTGACAGACATACAGCGTCTCCAGATTTTCAAAGCTTGAGCAGTTTAGTTTGATTCAGTTTCATGTGTAAATAATTCTGAGAGCAGAAAAAAAACATTTATTTTGATTGCTGCTTACAGCTGAAACCCCATTGTGAATGGTAATAAAACAGCTCCAAGAGGACAAATAAAAACATTTTGGTGTATTTTTGTTTAATTGGCACTGACTTGACTGACATCTAAAATGTATTGTTAGTGTAAAATCCTTAACTATGTACATTTCTTGCACACTGACTTTATAAACAGTAAATAATATAGTATATAGCACACTGTTAACAATCAGTTTGTAGTGTGGGTTTGGGACACAGCATGTGTTTGGAGCTGCAGCTGTTTCTGATGTTGCCAAATTTCATATTAAGAAATGATTTTCATTATGCAGGTTTAGTCAACTACTCAGGACTGAGCTTCAAGACTCTCAGGAATCAGGCTGATAAGGAAGGTGTCTGCTTTCAGAGGGGCGATTGTTGTCTAAACAGGGATGTGTTGATCTGACAACAAACACTGAGTAAATGGGAGAGTTGGAAGGTATAAAAAACACAGAAACCCGAGTAGATCAGGTGAAGTAATATTAAGGAATACCATTGCATAGCAGCTAGAAGGGGACTTTTAGATAGTTAATAATGGAACAAAAACACATTTCTTCTTCCAGACAGGTTATATTTATAGTTCGGGTTGCATGTGAAGCTGCATCCAGCTATCTGATGAGGCTGATTCACACAAGTCATCTTGTCTCTTCTGCGTCCAGAAGAGGTGTGCCGATTGATGTTGTGACACGCTAAGGGGTGAGCTGTAGGTTAAGAAGGAAGAGGTATTTTTTTCAAGCCGAGGCTCTGAGGCTGAGCTCAGTTCAGGGTGATGACAGCTGCTGACAGTTTTTGGCTCCTCTCCTTCTTTCTCCACGCCAGGTAAAGTCCCCTCCTCCCCCTCTCTCCCCCTCGCTGCCTTCAGCCCAGTGTCTCTCACCCTGTCTCTCTCCGTCATGTTCCTGAGAGTCACGTCCCTCCTCACCCTCTCTCACCACCCTCAGACAGTGTCAGTCACTACCTCTCTCCTGGCGCCAGATGCAGCTTCTCCGTTTCAATGGCAGCAATTTTTCCACTTGTTCTGTCTGGGCCACTTTTACATTGTCAGTGTTACTATATAAACAGAAAACAGTGATCGAGTTACAGTGCCATTCATTCAGCTCCGCCCCTTTCACCTCCACCTCCTACACCTGGCCTCTAATGCCCCCAAACTCAATACATAATAGTATTTACCTCCAGCTTAACAAGCAGCTCTTTGTTTACTCATAAACATGATACGTTCTTCTGCATACTATGAATAATTTCAATTTATTTATAGATGTTTCTGGAAAAAGTAAATGAAATAGGCAGAAATGATAATCTCATAATCTGGTACCACTTTGAACTTTTCCATTAGGGTTGCAACTAACAATTATTTTCCTTATCAATTAATCTTCCAATTACATTCTCAATTCATCAATTTGTCTATAAGGTGCTATCTTCAGATTAAGTCTACAGTCCAAAACGAAATATATTCAATTTCTTATCACAGCAGACAAAGAAAAGAAGCAAATCCTCACAAGTGAGAAACTGGCAGCAAGGGGCTCGGTGCATTCTTAAAGACTTTGGTCACATAGCAGATAAAACAAATGCTAGAACGGCCTTTTGCATACTGATTACATGTGCTGTTGGTTCTGCTGTTGCTTATGTCTGGCAGGTTGTTTTTCTTTTTATTGTTGGGAAATAATTCGTCTGTGTGCACTTGGCTCTTTACATGTATACCCTTTGTGACTAACTGTGATAAATAATTGGTCACAGAAAAAACGCTAGTTTGGCACATTCGCCTGAAAAAAAAACTTAAACAAGTTTGTTATTGTTGATCAGCTGAATTGTTTCAGCTCTAAATACTGCATATATCTTCAAGTATTAACAAGTGAGCAAACACAAATTTGATCATATCATGTCATAAAAATGATTATTTATGATTTGAAAAATCTAAACATTTAGAAATGTATGACACACTTTATGTTTTGTTTTGGTTTTCTGTCATGCACTGCACACATCGCTAACTGTTAGACATATTGTGAAATACTCCAACTGGAAAAAACATTACTAGTTATTACAAAGTAAAATAAAGGGGTAATCAGTTTTCACAACATCTGAACAGAGGCTTCACTGCTAGACTAATAGTTGTTGCTATAGTTTGAATGTGGGAAATACTGTTTAATGTCATGTCACTGCAACATATCAATGTTTTGAATTATAATGTGTTAAGAATATTTCCTATGTATACGCTAAAAGTGACATTAATATTGTTTAAGCCCACTTTGGGACTTTAGAACATCAGAAATGTTCAAATTTGTGCTTGTGTAATCAATAAATAAATGACCAGTGGTGTGTTTTGTATTCCCATTTCAGATTGTTCTCACCAAGAGAAACAGTCTCCCCAGTGATTTATATAGAAAAGATTATTAAACACAATTACACATCACTGCGTCAAACCTGATAGAACCAGTTATAGTTAATGTAAAATATGTGATTATCCAAAAACAAGGTTTTATTTCTCGATTACTTATATAGTGTTTTTATTGTAATAGCGATTTATTGTTTGATGAATAGCTGCAGGACAACCGCTGTAAGTGCTGTGCAGAAACACTTGAGGATGAAATCCGTCATGATTAATTGAACATCATATTTTAACACAGTTTTGAACTTTAAAGTGAGCTGCTGGTCATATAGTTAGTAATGGCCTTCTTCAGTCAAGGTCAAAGTTAAATGTTCAGGATTGTATTTAACCTCTCGGCCACTGGGAAGTTTCTGTCCTCGGACTCACCTCCTTCTTCCCCTTTCTTTCTCTTTTCATTTTTCCCTCTCTGTTTTTTATTAGATTATTCCTTTGTGCCTTTGCCTCTCTGTTTTTTGAAACCTTACCACTCTTGTTAATGACAAAATGTGGGTTCAGGTTGGGGTTGCTGTGGTGGGGTGGGGGCCACATTTGGTTCAGTCCTGTGTTATCCATTGAAGGTGACAGGAGGGGCTGTGACTTTGGATTTTTGACCCCAGATTCTTTATTTTTACTAGGAAGGGATCCAAGGATGGAGCAGTTGATGTGAATAGCTGCCCAAGGTGACTGGATCCCAATAAAGAGGCCGTCAGCCTGGCCGGGGGCCTCCTTCCCATCCCAGACACAACCTTTATAGGGCCGCTTATGAGCCTGGGCAACTATTAAACCCTGTCCAGCCTGCACTGAGGAATTTAGGGCCAGGAAACAAGGGAGTGGGGGTGGGAATGGGCAGAGGGAGGTGAAGTTGGGGTGACTGAAGGTGAAAGTTGAAAGGCATGTTCGAAGGAATCTGGTTGTTCTTTAGTCATCACCTTCAAATGTGTACCAGGCGTGATACTGTTTCACTTTTTTTGTGCTTTAATAATCAAGTCGAAGGAACCACAGTTTTAATCAGCTGGATGTAGTTGTCAATAGGTCTGTTTTACATTGTTTGTTTTGGGCGTGTTTTTCATTGGCAGGAGTTGAATGACTTTGCCTGACTGTGGCCAGCAAATGGTGTTATACAGTGTGCCATTTTCTTTAGTGAGACAGTGAGAAGGAACCGAGGGAGACAGCCGAGTCTCATAAACATCTCGCCGCTGTTTGTTCACATGGGGCTCGAGGTATATAGGCAGGCCTGGTTGGACAGCTTTTCAAATAAAAATGTGAGCTTGCGCATGTGCATTTGTGCACACAAACACACAGAGCAGATGCAAAAATTCAGATGTCAGTCAAAAGTCAACAGAGGTATGTTGCTCCCCCACTCACCAGTAAATGGAGAAGCCAATCAAATATCAGCTGCCAATCAGCATTTTATCAGCAGAGCCATCTGGCCATCAGCTAATTGTGTCTCTTTTAAGTCCCTGTCAATCACCAATGTCCCCCCCCCCTTTTCTCTTAAAAATGTCTGCCTTTGAGCTTGCCTTCTGGCTCCAAGGGGTGGCCTGCATGGGGTTGGGGGTTGTTTGTTGACCACTCTCTCTTAATCAGTTGTTGTATTAGCTTTCATCATAGTTTCAAAGACTTAAATGTTTCTTTTTTTCTCTCTCTCTCTTTCTGCAGCGGTGGAGACCCAGAGCACCAGCTCAGAGGAGATGGTGCCCAGCTCTCCTTCCCCTCCTCCTCCTCCTCGTGTCTACAAGCCGTGCTTTGTGTGCCAGGACAAATCATCTGGTTATCACTATGGAGTGAGCTCCTGTGAGGGCTGCAAGGTAAATGAAGCCAGAGACACATGAAGAGTTTACAGGACATGTATGAAGTGAACAGCTGATGTCCACTGAAAATAAGGCCAGAGTGAAAACCTAGAGCCTGACAGATACCGGCACTGCATAGCTGGAATGTTTGCTTTTGCTAAGCTGCCCTCTAGTGTATTCTTACTAATACTGCACATTATCAGTGTAACAGAGCTAAACAGTGTGCTATGTGCCCAGCAAATTGTTTCTGCATCTAAATTGACTAAAAGGGAAAATTTAGAGCTTAAATCTTTTTAGAATCATTTTGGCAAACATTGTTTTAGATGTCTTGTGTGTTTGTAGTTTAGACCAATAAATGGATGTTCACAATTCAGAAAGAAGACTTCTCAATTCTATGTGAGACAACAGCCAACCATTCCTGTGTTAGTAGGCTACTAATTAATGTCATGCATCAATCTTGAGCATGTTGCACTTTATTTTACAAACATAAACAACAAAAAAATAAGCAAGACTAAAAGTCTACAGTCATGCTAATGGCTCTGTGACTCTATACTCGACTATACTATACTATGAAATTTCAGGTTATTACAATTAATCTTGAGGTGGACATGTCTGTACCAAAGTTTATGGCAGTCCATTCAATATTTCAGTCTAAAGCAGTGGACCCCGACAGAACGACATTGCTATCCCTAGAGCTAAGCTGCTACCATGGCTAAAAATTATATTCTAAGATCTTATTAAGAGCATTTTTCCTGTCATGAAGCATTGTGCAAGACATTTTCATGTGTTGCTTCCAGGGTTTCTTTCGGCGCAGTATTCAAAAGAACATGGTGTATACCTGCCACCGAGACAAGAACTGTCAGATAAACAAAGTGACTCGCAACCGCTGCCAGTACTGTCGACTGCAGAAGTGCTTTGAGGTTGGCATGTCCAAAGAAGGTGAGAGGAAGACATGAGCCAATTTCTTTACAAAATAATACTCCATGATCACTATCAAGAAAAAGCTCATGGGGAGTTTGGCTTTTTAACTGTGTCAACTGTGTTTGCCTGTAGCGGTGCGTAATGACAGGAACAAAAAGAAGAAGGATGTGAAGGAGGAGGTGGTGCTGCCAGAGAACTATGAGCTGAGTGGAGAACTGGAGGAGCTGGTTAAAAAAGTCAGCAAAGCTCACCAAGAGACCTTTCCATCTCTGTGCCAACTAGGAAAATACACCACAGTGAGTTTTTTTTTAAATGCATAACCACATCCACCTCTAAAACACTTACACTTGACTCAAGCATTAGCTCACTGCTTTGCCAGAAGGACACACAGTATGGACTCTGCACAGCCACACAGTCAAAAGTGTCCCTTTTTCTCTCTCCCAGAATTCAAGTGCTGACCACAGAGTACAGCTGGACTTGGGCCTTTGGGATAAGTTCAGTGAGCTGTCCACTAAGTGCATTATAAAGATTGTGGAGTTTGCCAAGCGGCTACCAGGCTTCACTACGCTCACCATCGCTGACCAGATCACCCTCCTCAAATCTGCATGTCTGGACATCCTGGTACCAACCACATGCTCCTATTACTCCTTCTCTTTAACCGACTCCCCTTCCACCCTTTACACATCCCTAACGCTTTCTCATTTGTCACGCTGCTTAACTTGTCTATATACAACAGATATATAACAGCTCCTGAACATGTTTAATGTGATTCTGCATCCACCATCCTCATTTTACTAACTTACTAACTTTTCGTCTCTTTTCTTTCTCCCCCTTCTTAGATGCTGAGGATATGCACTCGTTACACCCCAGAACAGGACACAATGACCTTCTCAGATGGCCTGACTCTCAACAGGACCCAGATGCATAACGCTGGCTTCGGCCCACTCACAGACTTGGTGTTTGCCTTTGCTGGTCAGCTGCTGCCTTTGGAGATGGACGACACGGAGACAGGCCTACTCAGTGCAATCTGCCTCATCTGCGGGGGTAAGGTTGAGCCTGCCAACGTGATGATATAAGCTTAAAGTCTTTAAAAATGTAACTTTATTTATCTCAATATCATTTTGCCAGATGTTTTACATACTGCTAACATTTCCTTACCAAATCTATCCCTCCCTCCCCCTCGTTGTTTCAGACCGTATGGATCTGGAGGAGCCACAGAAAGTAGACAAGCTGCAGGAGCCCCTGCTAGAGGCTCTGAAGATCTACACCCGCCGCAGACGCCCGAACAAGCCTCACATGTTTCCCCGCATGCTGATGAAAGTCACAGACCTCCGAGGAATCAGCACCAAAGGTCAGCTGAGCTTTTATATCATATTATTTCTGGATATCTAACCTTAATACTTTTTTTGGTAGCTACCACTGAGTATAAGTGTAAAGTACTGAAAGATGTCATCAAATGTCTGGTCAGATTATTATTCTTGTTTACATTTTTCTTTAATGTTCTAGACCAGTTTTCAAACTGTGGGGGATGGATGACCAGGGGCAAAATATGGAGTGGAACTGAATGAATATAATTTATGTAGGGAAAATAAACAAGAGTTTGCTGAGACAAAGTCCTGATAATGCTACTTGTGTGAAGACAACCTTTAACATTGTTTTAGTATCAGTATCCAAACTCAAGTATCCTATTATTACTAGTGTCAAGTTCAAACAATACCCAGTCTTGTTTGGGAGATGACTAATAATAAATAATTAAGCAAATTCACCTTGGAGATCAATTGAAGAGTTTCATTCCAAAATAAGACTATACATTATTTTATATTGTATGTTAAGAACTATGCATGCAACTTGGTTCTGTCAGAGAAAATATACTATCATCTGCATATAAGAATGGCCTTTTTGTCTGAAAGAGAATGAAACCTGAAAGTTAGCGCTTCCTCGTCTCACTTTAATACACTAACCATTAACTAAATATGTGTGTGTGTGTGTGTGTGTGTCTGTAGGTGCAGAAAGAGCCATCACACTGAAGACGGAGATCCCGGGCCCCATGCCTCCACTGATCAGGGAGATGCTTGAGAATCCAGAGGCCTTCGAGGACAGCAGTGACTCGGGGGACAGCGCTGCAGCCGCTCCCCCCGCCATTCAAGCCATCAAACAAGAGGAGAAGGCCACATATGAGTCGACCGTTGAGGAGGAAGAGGAGGAGGAAGAGGACGACTACTGGGATGAGGAGAAAGAGCGAGGGGCAGACAGTGACGGGGAGCCGAGTGGGGAGGCGGCAACGGGCGTGCAAAAGAAAGGTGTGACTGGGAAAACACAGTGAGAGAGACACGATGATGGTGCTTCCTCCTTCAGATCACTGAGCCCTCGCCCAGGATTATCTCCTCCCAGAAACCGCACAGAATTAGGCTCTTATACAACAGCGGTGTTGCATACAGCACATATTTACATATACTGTACATGTTGACTCAAAGGAAAATGTGTTCAATTCAGTATAGGAAGCAATGAGTGGGAGAAGCAAAAGCACTAAATGTCAGTGGGTTGAGGAGAGCGCCATGAAAAATCACTGTGCCAAAATGAGACTTTCTAAAAGATATTTCCAAGGTGTTTTGTCTACCCAAAGAGGAACAAGCGGTGGTGGACAGAAGAAAATGCACTCCTCTGCTATCTATAAGGGCTATGCTTTGTATAAAATTGATAAAAAAAATAATGAAAATACATTGCAACAACAGAACTCTATGTGGTGTTCATTAGCCGCAGATGTCTTCTCAGAATTCCTTTTATTACTATACAGAGATATGCTACTTATTTTTTTATTGTATGGTTTTTCTAAGCATGTACACATTTCTGTTCTTCCTTTATGCCTGTTTGTGGGACTTTGTGTTGCTTTTTGTATATTTTTCACTCAGTCCCGCTCATATTTGACTGGACATATGTGTGTTTTTTTTAAGCTTGTCTTAAATTTTATGCATTTCAGCTTTATTGAAAACAGTAAAAAGCAATAGTAAAGATAGTAAAGAGAGCAATAGCAAAGAGAGAGCAGGACTCAAAACTCACAATGTAACAAGCACATGGTATGGAAATCTCTGAAACATCTGAATGAGAAGAACAACTTATACTGTAATTTAAGCTCTGGTGCTTGTGAGCCAAATACGATTCTTAACAAAGAATGCAAAATAAATGCAGCAACATATCCCCATCTTTTGGCAAAAACACACACTCACAGGGATTTTTTAAAAATACTTAAGAATCTGCAGGGTAGATTTAATGTCATCACACATCTCAGGATCAGGGCTACGTCTCACCTGTCAATACAATATATTAAGAAAACTGTTCTTCTTCAACATACTACCCCCATCTTTCAACAAACATTCTTACACCGAGGAGTAGGGATCATAACAAATTGAAGTTGTTGTCCATGCTGCACATGCCCTTGGTGCAGCACCAGGTACCATTAAGCCATAATATTTTAATTTTGTAAGCGTGAGCAAATAATCATCCAAACAGACATAACCCTTAAAAAAAGTTTACTTCATAGAAAACCTCAGGTGTGCATGTGTGTGTGTGCATGAGAGTGTAACTGCGACCATTTACCAACACACAGAGCGATGTTGTCGAGATATGATGTACCCGTCATAACTGCCATAATTCAAGCATTTATCCAGAAGTCCAATTCTCCTAAAAACGCACATAAAATAGGTTTTGTAGCATAAAACTAAATGTTAAGACTTCTGGTGGACAGTAGGATATTGATGGCGATGCAAGCTGACTAAGAATCACATGATCAATTGTAACTGAGGTTGCAGCCGTCCAACATAATTGAAAACAAAACCAAAGCTTTACATCGGGCGACCTGTCTGCTGAAGCACAGGACGATACTTTCAGATGATGTTTGTTCATGTGTGCTGTATCTAATGAGTGATGCGAAACATGGATTTTGTAAAATAAATACTTAATATTTTGTTTTTCATTGAGACTATACAGCTTTTTTTAAAACCAAGATGTATACAGTTGTCATTGTATTTGTGTAATGAAAGACTGTGAGTTACTAAACTCCTTAATAGTTGTAAGGGAAACGATTCTCCATCAGCATGTTGTCCTTCGTGGCAGGAAACACTGCAGAAGTGCAGCTGCAACATATTTGTGATGTAGTTGAAATGAGGGATACAATGAGTCTTAAAAGATGAAGCTAGGATATGATATCAGAAAAAAGGGGGATCAAATGTGGAGATGTTGACTCCCTGAATGAAGCAGAGAAAGAGAAGAAAGCAGATCCCACACGACCATTGTGGCAACACACCAACATAGAAGTTAAATAGGTCTTTAGCACCAGACTTAAAGCCATCGAGGAAACAGTTGATTCAAGTATTAATTTAATATCAACACTGACGCCATATTGATGTTTTTTAGACTGTTAAATTGTAATATTATAGAATGGAAACATCACAACCATAAAACTGAGGCAAAATATGATAGTTATCTTCAGCTTTTTTCCTCACACACATCGTCAGCCAATCCTACATACTTTGTTGTTTAGTATTTAAAGATATTTCTGCATCATATAACTAAGATATTTCATAATGAATTGTTTTCCTGTATCTTTTATCTATTTTTCAAACCTCTTTTCTTTTATTGAATTTGAGCTGGTGCAATAGATATGCCATGGAAGAGGTCACAAAGGCTTCATCTCTATATGTAAGTGTGAGTTAAAAAAAAAAAAAGAAAAACAGACCAAAGACATATTACATCACATTTGGACAAAAACAAAACAAGATTACTTAATAAAGACTCTGTTAAGCTCATTGATGTGAAACATATTCACTTTGTATTGTGTGATAGATTTCTTTATCTTAAACTACTTTTGAAGCTGGAACCATCTTATCTCTGTTACAGTTTGTTGTTTTTTACTGATGTCTTCCTTTTTACAAACACAATCTTTGTAGTGTGCAAATAACTCTTCATGTTCAGGGATTCAGACAACTTGTGAGTTTCATTTCAATTGGACTTCACACACACACACACACATACAATGATCTGTTCTTGTTTTTCATTTTTACTTTTGCTTATTTGTTGCTTATTGTTTGCTTATTTGTTATTTGTCGTTGTCTTTCTTGTATTTTGATAAAGGCGCTTTTTGTTCTCAGACTTTTCAGCGTCCAGTTGTCACCTTCTTTGCCATCACTTTACACACCTTTACATTGATAGTCTCAGGATGGAAACACAGCTATTATTCAAGACTTTAGTTGTATGGTTTGAATGCACTTTAAGGTAATTTCAAAAAATTGTAAATAATCCTTCACATATTTTCACCAAAAGACAAACTGCCACCAACATGTATTTATTATCATATTTTATTTAAGAGCCCCGTCTCTCCAACAGATCAATAAAAACCAAAATATCATACATTAACATTCATGTTCTTCCAGCCTGACTGTGATCAACAAGCTGCAGCAGAACATATTCACACTTTTGTAACACACACCCACTCTATTGACATGGTTTCAGGATTCACACTCACATGCAGAGGTTATGGGCTGATATGCCACCAAAACAAGATGCAATGTATTAATTTCAAGCTAATCATAGCATTTTTTTTTCTTTTTCTCTTTTTGTTTGCAAGACATATTCACACTATGATCAGTTAAATAGCTAGACTTACTAGGAAATTACAAATGGAGTCTAAAATAAACTGAACCAACACTCTCCATATGAAAGTCCAAAGAAGAGCATGAAGATGAGAAGCATATGAAGACAAACGTCAAGTTATCAGCACATAGTGTTCTTCCTGAGTTCTATTAATCCAAAAGCAGTAATAAAAACATTATTATACTATTAAAACAAATACAATTCTGGACAATTAAGACTTACAACACTTAAAAATTGTGACATGTTTTCTTTGAATACACTATAAAGAAGGTCATTTTCTACATGAATAGCTACAGAAAAACAATAAAATAAGCACAACATTTCTTATGACCCACATGAACTTGCATTGCAGTAGTAAACAAGCAACTTGCCGTGCATCATCCTTTATGTTACCACATAGGGTAGTCAGCCAGATCACTGCAGAGTGAAAGAGAATTGAAACACTGTCAGAAAAATCCCATGTCTCTGTTCCTGCTGATCTACTGCTTTTATTATTGCTGCTATTTGTACTCTTACTACGATATTATTTACACTTTATTACACCTAATTATACACTTAAATTATTTTCACTCTCTTCCCATGAGAGAAGAAAGTGTCTAGTCAGCACAAAGACAGCATTTATACAACAGCAACAAGTCTGCAAGTGAGGAAAGTGTGAATGAAGTCATCACATAATATTTTAGGAGAGGCGATTCTAGTCTTGGAGAAGGAAATAGGGTTAGTGCTGTGTGACTGGTGGAAAGCCAGAAGTGTCACCTCATGACCTTGTTGAAAAGTTCTGGTAGGATCAGTCGCTTCCCTTCTCCAGCGCTGTTCTCACAGTGCTGCCTCCTCACATCCTGATTAAACAGACAGAAGCAAAGTTCAATGTAAACTGTGCCATATTTGTTGTTTAATAATATACACACCCAAAATATTTGAGTGGGAACCAGTAAAGTGGATCAGAGTTTGTATTATTTTTCCAAATCTGATATATGATATCTATGAGCTGTCATTGCTGAAAAACAAAATAGAAAGTAAAATGCATGTAAATATTTAGTTGTTAATCTTCAAATATAATCTGAATCAGATGTAAGTGTCAAAATAAAAGTTAAAAGCTGTTAATTTTAAACATTTGACTGTTATGTATCTGTAAAACAAGACTTATAACCGATCTCATTTGAATGAAAGCATTTCCTTATAAACGTTTTAGACACGTTGTTGGTTACAAGGTAGCACAATGGGTTAGTCTGTAACACTAAACTATTTTCTGTAACTCTGATCTATAATCTATAACCCTGATCTATAATCTATAACTCTGGATTCCTTATATCGTTATTAACCCTGATTCCTTTAAGAATCTAATTACAAGGGCCCTGCACCATCAATATTAATCTCGCGGTGAACTCACATGATCGATAATCTCTAACCCTGATCTAATCTCTGACCCTGGATCTATAGTCTCTATCTCTGATCTATAATCTATAACCCTGATCTATAATCTATAACCCTAATCTACTGCTATGCGGAGCATCAAGGAATAATCAGTGCTTCTCTGTGGATTTACAGCTTTAGTGTTTCCTCATTTAAACCCGACCCAGTTAGAATAAATACACTGTCGTGACTTCTTTCTAACAGTCAGCATTAAACGTTGGTGTTCAACAGTGGAGCTGCAGCAGAGTCATACAGGACGAAGGAGCTTCAGGACTCAATTGGGAAACTAGTCAAATATTTGCCTGCTCAGGTCTGTTAGCTCTGATTGCAGATTGTGTTAAACCTTGTTTAGTTTACTCGTGAATAGGATGGCATACCTGTGTGTCAGACACTGGTGGGTCTTCTTTGTTCTGGGGGCGTGTCTCAGCAGGGACCTCGGCTGTGTTGGGCTGTTCCAGGTGAGTGGATGGGAAAAGAGGTGAACAGATGGATCTGGGCGAAGCTGAGGAAGCATCTTCGTCATCCTCAGAGGAAGAGCCAGGAGCTGTTTAAATCAGTACAGATTCCTAACTTTAGTGCTCATTAGCCTACAGTGCAGTGAAATAGAACTGCTGTGTACAAAGACACTTCATCACTCACAGATACACATGGGCATTTCTCCGTTTGATTTGGCTTCTGGCACAACTTCCAACCTCTGCTCTAACTGATGAATGCAGTTCAACAGGTCCTGTCCAGTTCCAAACCCACAGAGTTGAAGAAAAAAAGGAAGAAGACAAGGAAGAAGAAAATGATCTTATTAAGTAAATTGGAGTGTTTTTTATTTTTTTTATTTATTAAGTTGTTTCTTAGTTTTTGTAATTGAAGATATCATTGTCAACACTATTTACTGTGCTACAGGTTGACTGTAAACAGTGGTGGAATATTATCTGTATGCATATGAATATTGTTTATATTATACTATACCTGCACTTATGCCATGTAAATACTTTTGTCACTTTATTTGCAGCATCCCCTTCTAACCTTATGTACTATTTTGTATGTATTTGTAGCTGCCATATTTTCACCTGGTATTATGTTTCTAGCTTAGCTTTTATAATTTCTTGTACCTGCATTGTGCACTCCAGGGTTTGACGCAAACACATTTCACTATATGTACTTGTATGTTTATGTGACAAATAAAATCTTTTGGATCTTGAGGACGTACTCATATCTTTTATGTAAGTAAAACAGTTAACAGTGCAGAAACACTAGTATTACTAGTAAAAGTATTGCACAAAAGTGAAAACTGAACTGAAGTACGAAGAATTGTAATAGTAGAAAAATAGTAATAATAGTTGTTCCACCATCAACCACCATTTTAATTTCCACCACTGTCTGTAAATATGACCCTGAAATCATGTAACTTCTTTCGCCTTTGCTTCCAATTTGCCTTGGCTACATGCATACATTTATTTCTCTCTTTTGACTAAGCTTTGGGTATTTTCTGTGCAGCCACCCTGCAAACATGAGCAATTTGAAAGGGCAAAAGAGGAAATCATGAACAAAACTGTACATGTGTTGATACATTTAGGTAGGATAAATACCGTTGACCAAAAGCCCCATCTTATTAACATATATATCATAAAACAATATAAGCTGGATATGTGATCTGCTGTAGAATCCTTGCCTGTTTGTCCACCTGCTGCTCTTCTCTCTCTTTCTGGGCTTTCCTCAGGCTGGCCTTCAGCTCCTGCAGCTCTCGGTTGGTGTCGCTCAGCAGCACCTACAGGGGGCAGCAGCATTAAACTCAGACCATCTGAACACTCACACATTTGACTTGGCTTGTCCCCTTTCCTGCTGTTGATCACATGACAGTGAGAGGAAATGTTTACTCACTGTTCATGGAAGCCTTTCTATTTGTGCCTGTGTGTGAGTAATAAAAGAACTACGCTGAACTCTGGCACCGTTCTCCAGTTTCCAAAATGTAATCCGAGCATCTGATGATGCAGATTTGAGGCATACGCGCAGTTATATTTAGAGCAGAATGTGTTTGTGTGTTGAAGAATAGTGATTGCGATGTACTGTGATTTACTTACTCTGCTGCAATGTCTCTCATTCCCAAGCTCTAGTTCTATTTTCTCCCTCTCCATCCTCTCTTCCTGGAGCCACTGCTCCTTCCTCTGCACCTCACAGCTCAATTCTTGTATTTTCTTTTTATCAGCCTGCATAAAAAACAAAAAAGAAAGTTTACAAAGTCAAGTGGACATATGGGTTGTGTATGTGCAGCTTCAGGCTCTGCAGCATCCTCACTTCTGCTGCATGTTTGTATGCTTCTCTTTCTAGGGCCCAGTTGGCACGCTCCTCCCTGAGGAGTAGGTTCTCCTCAGAAAGCTGCAGGGTGAGCTGGGCCACTTGCAGCCGGGCTTGGTGCAGCTCGGTGTGGGCATGGCCCTGACGAGCACCAAGCTCCCTCAGCTCCCTGCGCAGGCTCTCAGCTACATGCTCACTAGCCTCCAGACGGTCCTGCAGCCCTCGCACCTCCACCAGAGCAGCCTCATTCTCCACCTGCAGAGAGACCAGGGTTGCACAGAAATGGCAAACAACTGAAATAAGGGAGATAAACGGTCCCAGTTCTGGCTTAATATAGCCACGAGAGGGAACGGGAGAGTTAAAACTTCTCAGGTTCTACATCTGCAGTTAAGATACAGACACCGAACAATCTAAATCTGGCCTGGTTTCAGTGAGTTGTTGGGCTGGAGGACTTTACAGAGCTGCCAGGTCTTCTGTCCTCTAATCAAACTGTTTTACAAGACAAGAAGAAGCAATCACCTGCAGAGACTTTCTCTTTTCCTCATCGTGTTTCATTTGACTGGACATTTTCTTCACTCTCTCCTTTAGCCTGTGGGACAAAAAAAGTAGGTTCGTTTTAGGCCCAAGGAAATAAATATACCAAGATGTTTAAGCTAGCATGTGTCTCAAACACTCGCCTTTCCAGTTCCACGTTTTCCTCTGTCTCTCTATCATTCAAGACCCTGAGTTCCTCCTCCAGGTCTTTGATTCGCTGCTGACTCTCAGCTTTTTCAGCCATAAGGTTACTCAGTTCAGAGGATAGACTTTCCTGACTATATTTCACATCCTTTCAGTGTTGTGGAGAGAAGAAAAATGATTATAGATTATTCTATCTATGATTATCGGTGAAACAATTTGGAGGTGAAAAGGAAACGGCTACCACTATAAATCTGGCGGTAGGGACTGTCTGTACCTTGTGTTTTCCCTCCATCTTCTTCAGCATCTCATAGTTTTGTCTGATGTTGCTTCTGAGCTCTGAGATCTCCTCCCTCATTGCTTCTCTTTCACGCTCCCACTCCATCCTCGCATTTTCGCTGCTCTCTTTCACGTTCTCTGTCTCCTTCTTTGTCATGTCCAGAGCCTGCTGTATCTCCGCTTGTTTTTTTAAGCATTCCTCCAGTCGACTCTGTTCACAGCATGAGGAGAGGAGGAGGACAGGGAGGTTTGCATTATTTATTGCATTATTCCATTTTTCTTTAAATGTTAGATATTCAAACATCAAACATCACCAAAAGGATAGATAGTCAGTGGTTCTATTAAACTGATTACTGCAGTGATAGTAGACAGCAAGCACACTTAGGGGCCTTGTGACGAAAGAGTGGACTAGTTTGGATAGTTTTTCTCAATTTGTAATATGTTTTTGGCAATTTTTTGTTATATGAAATTATTAACTATCCCAGCTCTTATTATTTACTATGAAGGGAAGATTAGCTTATCAGGAACAGTGCAATGTGGTGCTGAAGTTTTTTATTCCCACCTGCAGCAGCTGAGCCCTGGGAATGACGAGGAGCAGCTCCTCTTCTCCGTCCTCCTCGTCTCGTTCCTCTTTCAGAGTCTCCAGCTCATCCAGAGGCTTGGGAGCATAAAACGTGAAGGAGCGACTACGGGCACACACCTCTCCCATCTTATCCACATATACAAACTCATACTCCACAGCACTGGGGCGGGGCAGGTAGGATGCTGTATCAAGCAGACACAGAAATGTCTAACATTTGTTTGTTTGTTACATTTGTATGGTAGAATAAAGTAAAATAAGGCTTAAGTACAAAAAATGTTAATAGAGGAGCACAACAACCACTTAATTAGCCCTCAAAGACCCACACAAATTAGTTTAACTTTGATAACAATGACCGTGCACAACCTCCAGTGGTTTAACTTCTCACCTTGTTGCAATGAGTAACTCAAAACTAAAGTACTGTACCATGTTAAATGTAATTAGTTACATTCGACCACAGAGCACACCTCTGACTACACCGAAGCATCAGTGTAGGGTAAACACCGGTGTTACTAATGATACTAACAGAGTCAACGTTCTCCTATTGTGCATGTTGACTTACTGGAAAGGCTTTGCTACACTAAATGGAACAAAGCCTTAATATGTACAATTTTACAATAACTTACATGATTTTACCCTACTATTTCATGTCAAAATGGCTGCTGTGAAAGAGGTCTATTGCGAATATTGAGATGTTTGGCTGAATTCTTACCCTGAAAAAGTGCACAGCAGTTGACGCTTGTCCCCTCAGTGTAGCCTTCAGGAACAAGAGCCCATGTATATGTATAATACTGTTTCACTGAAGACCAGCCCACCTGTGAGATGATAACATACACAATATTGAATTAAAATTTACATATTTTGCTAAGACAACGTTTTGCTGTTTTTGTGTGTGGGGGGCTTGGTGCTAAAGTGGGTGGATCTACCTCGAAAATCCCAATCCAGTCACTGCTGCTCCACTGATGGTCAGAGTTCAGACTGTAGTGGCACTCGACTCTGGTTTGGGGAAAGTAGAGTTGACCCACATTTCTAAACACCACTGTGGACTGTTTATCCATGGTAATAGGAAGCTGTTCTGTTTAGGAAGAAAACATATGTGGATCCAGTGAAATGTGCTCTGGTTTCAGTCTGGAAGAGAACAGCTGATGAAAGATGATAGCTGAATCAGTTCAGGAATGCAGCTTGGTCATAACTAGTCGCCTATGGCCCCATAATCTGTTTACAAACAACAAGCTCATATACCTACTGAGCACTGAGGTTATACCATGTAATCTGCAGAAAATATAGATATTGAGCTGACTGTTTGTAGCTCTAAACACTGTAACATTTATACTTGACTTTATTAAAACACAGTTTTTAAATTAGTCCTAAACCAACTAATATCTCTGCTTTATGTTACAATACTGAAACAAGGGTTTTTTTTTATGACTTATATTTAATTCCTAAAAAAAACCACACACACACACAAACCTGACATCATGGCTGCATTCATATACATATATAGTTAAAATGAATAAAATTAAAACCAAAACACATATTCATCCCTAACAGATATATCTTCCCTTTTGTTATTGGTTCTATCTGCTTTAATTAAGTATTCATGGCATTCTAAGAGCAGCTGATAATAGCTTAATTCTTAATAAATTACTGAACTATTAGTGCTGTTTACTTACCTTATTCTGCTGATAACTTAATGTGATGTCTTTTCCACTGCCTCATGAAAGATAGAGCTGTGCATCAATCTGTAGCTAGTGATAAGCAATCCTGTCAGGAGTTTCACAACATCCCCTGAACCATGTGGACCCCCAAGTAAAATGAGTGATGCTGGGTGTCTCATGGGAGGTGCAGTTCATGAGTACACAGCTCATCAGAAGGCAAAGTGGTGCTGCAGACTCCAACTCCCATCACAGGATACTGTTATAGGATACAGGATCTGCTGCTGGTAGTTACTGCTTATTGCAATTCTCAGTAGTAGCGGTGGAGGGGTGAGGAAAGGGGGGCACTGTGCTCAGGTCCAAACATTTCTCTTAATAACACCTTCAGTGAAGTCACTGTCCTGAAATCAGTGAAAGGTATAAAAACAGCAGAACCCCAACAACAGACATCCACAATACAATGCAAACTGTGTCTTAATGTCGAGTGGAAATTTCCTACATTTGTTTCAAACTGCTCTGAAAATACCGAATATGCTTCATGGGCTTACAACATCAACATCAGCCATTTTCAGTAAATTGGATACAGCCAACAAATATGATATTCTCCAAGTCGGACTATGATTGTGTAAGAATCGTGGTCCCACTTGTTAACACCTGATGGCAGTGTAGTTTTAGCACAAATCCACATTCAACAAGTGAGTTTGGGGATTCACACACACACGGGTGCTGGACATAGGGGCACTGAAGGGGCTGCAGAACCCCCTAAAACCAGTAGTTCATAAAAATGTTAAAACTTATAAATGTCTTTCTCCTTTTTTCTTTACTGGGATTTACATACACACTGGTACTTACTGCAGGAAGGTTTTTTCCTTGTTTTTAATCAGAATTATCTGCTAAAAGGTTATAAACTTTGTGTAAAATGTTGTTAATACAACTATTAAATAGGCAATAAATGATCCTGGCCGTTCAAAATGATGCAAGAAACCATGAATGCCATGCATTTAGCATTTAGTATGACGTCATTATATAGACAGACTTTCTCTTAGCAGCCCCATCTCTGACATCCAGTGTCCCCAGATTCACACGTGAATCAAGAATCGCAGCTCATCAAAGCAGGAAGTTTTAGTAGTCTGTCTGAATACTGTGCCGGGTTGCTCTGATGCCAAGCGATGGCCATCCGTTGACACAGATCCAGCTCAGTGCGTTATGCATCTTGTGTCCCACTTACTTTACTGCATGAAACTTTGTCCCCTGTTGAACCTCTGCCTCTTTAAATACCAGGGAAAACTCTGCTCCCCATGTGTAATTGGTTGAATATGTGATTTAAATTCCTGCTTGCACTTGTGGGTAGGCAATAGTTGCTGAGAGAAGCAACTTTAAAATGGTCTCCACTCATTTTGTTCATATCTTAGTGGAATTCAGTGCTATTTTCAGATCCAACATGTAGATTGAGAAACCACAGATGCTTATAAAAATCTGTTGGGTGTTCCTGAAAAATCAAACATTAACTGCTTTTGGCTAAAGGACTGGCAATGCTGGCAGGCTGTATAAGCCAGGCAGACTGCACTTTCACAGCAGACAGTCTGACATGCTGTAAGAAAGCACAGTTGTTACTAATAACATTAACGACAGCTCTAAAGTGTCCCAGTGAGTGTGACAGTGATCCAGTATGCACAACACCAGGACCCTAAAACTGAAGCAGCTAAATGGAATCCAGCCATCATTAATTTTAATGTTGTGCTTATTTCTACTGTGACATGTTATAATGTTTTCATCGGGTTCCACCAACAGATGAACATTTCCACTTGTCCAGCTCTGCGGTTCATCACAGGAAACCTCACTTTAAAGCTTTACTCAGCATGTTAGCAGAATAATATTTAGTACAGTTCAGTAACATGCTAAATGTTAGCCGTAGTTATAAGTAAACCTTCATCTTTGAGTAACAAAGGTAGGACATTATTTCATATTTCATTATCCAATCTTTATTTAAAAAGGAAGGTGTTCATTTCAAGATTAGTGATCACTGAAATACAAAACATTGAATTTGTAAAATTGTGCATAAAATCAATGTGGAAATAAAACACATTATCAAAATAAATGACAATTAAAAAGAAATTTAAAAAAATACAAAAGAACTTGTACTGTAGTCAAGCATAAACAATATATACAACATTTTCTTTAAGGTCTGTAAAGTAAAGTGTACTTGTTTGTCTTCCTGAGGACCTCTTGTGAACATAGAACAAGACTTTGTTTATTTAATGTATGCAGAAATTGTATGACAGAATACCTTTTTATAGGTAAATTATTATAAAGGATTTTTAATGAAAGTGAATTTAAAGTTTTATTTATTTTAAGTATAAAGCTTTATGCCCCCTCCCTAAACTAAAGTCTAGTTTAATGAATTAATCAACAAGAACACAGACGCCCTGAGCTCACACTTTGAATATAAACATACATACGAAGCACCTACATACATTAGTGTATAGATTTCTTTTTTACAAAGAATGGCTCTCTGCATGCACTGATCCATAAAAGCCTGTACTTCTTATCAGTACATTGAACCAGTGATCAGTTCACATGTCCACTGAGTCTCTCACTCACACTGTCAGAGTGAGCACACCTCATGCTGCTATTGATAAGGCAGGAAGTGTCAGAAAAGGTCAATTAGTTCCCATTCTGTTCAGCAGCGACATGACACCAAGCTCTGTCAGCTTGGCTTTTGCTACTTCCTCCCAGCCCCTATTGGCTAATGGATTACGGGGTGATGGATGCATGATGCCCTCGACTCGCACATTGACACCTGACAGAGCTCGCCGCGCCCGCTGCTCTGCCACCTTTCCAACCCCGATCACCATGGAGACGCCCAGTGCCTCCACTGCCTGGCACAGTGCAATGTCACAGAGGGCCAGGAGGGAATCCCGTTCACTTGCAACCAGATCAGGGGGGGTTAAATTCTTCCCACTGGCACTCATGAAGATGAGCGGGCACAGATTGTGCACAAAGCAGTGCCGGAAGAACAGCTCTGGCTCGCCACACAGCTTCCTGAAGAAGCCCCAAAAACGTGCGCCACTCACTTCACTCCGAGTGCAGGCAAGTCCCGTGATCGGTCGCTTTGGATGCTCCTCAGGAGGATGCCCGACCTCCCCTGTGATCTTCAGCCAATCGACAACGGACTTCACTTCCCCAAAGGGAACCTGTGCAAAGAGAAGCAGATCTTTTTAGCTTTTTTGGAAGACATCACAGACACAGCATTGAGTCTAAAATAAAGTCAGAAAATTGTCTTTGTTTTAAATAACCAGCACAGCAGCATGTGGCGAGAGGAACTCGAAGAAGCTTGCTCAACCTGGGTGTATGAGTAATATAGCATGCACGAGGAGAGCAGCATTAGCAAACATTACAACAGTGGCAATACAATGATTCCCTCATGATCAAATGTTAGTTTGCCTCATTTTACACATGGTCAACATTCATGCAGGAATATGAATGAACGGTCCCTCCACAAGTCAAGACAGATAATAATACAGGATCCACCTAACTTAAGGCCCTTATTCAGTTGATAATGTTATTTATTGATGTATATTTTCAAATAATATTTCAATTAATTCCATCACACACTTGACACACAATGAATCTCTGGTTTTAAGTGTCCCCTGATGATTTTAAATGCATAACAGCAATTCAGACTAATACCGTTTGGCTTCATGGTGTTTAGATAAAATACAAAAACAAAATAAAAAATGCACTCCTGTTCTTCCACATAAAGGAAGTGATATGATACTAAAATACGACAGATATCACGTTTTCTGCTTGTTGTTGTTGTTGTTTGGGTTATAACTTCCGCATTCACAGCCAATCAGAAAAGACCCTCGGTGCGCAATCAACGCGTTACCAGGTTACCCATTATCCTCCTGTCCTCACCCCTGTCTGTGCCATGCCGAAAGGTCCTGGATTCATCCCCAGGAACAGCACCGTCTGTCCGGCCCGGCAGTACCTCTGCACGTAGCCGCGGTGGGTGTCCCAGGCGTACTCCAGCGGGTTGTAGGTGAACCGGACGGGCTCGGTGAAGCGGAGCTGCCGCAGGTGGACGTTCAGCTCCAGCTCGACCTGCAGGAATCTGGAGGAGGGGGTTGTGTTGAGCTGCGGTACCGGTTCAAAGCCCCGCTGCTCCCCGTCGTCTCCACCAGCGAGCCCCCCCGTTTCATCTGCGGTTGTATTGTGTGACATGTTTTATTGTGACCGTATTAAATGAGAGCCGGGTTGTCGGGTAGAAACGTAGCATTGACGGATTCGTTTTTATATGTTCTGTCTGAGGCTTTTTGTTCCACCAGTGTTTCCAGATTCTTCTGGTCTGCTTCCCCAACCTGTTCTTCATCTTCTTCTACAAACCAACGTTAAAGGTGTATACCGCCACCTACTGTACCGGAGTGACTGTATTGGAATTATATTCTGTATATGAGACCTGTTTTATTTGATTAAAGCTCTCTGAACCTGTTTTGCATGTTTCACACTTATCGGAATCTATCTTTTTCATAATGTAGCATTTAACTTTGTATTAAAATTATATATTCTTCTCTACTTTTACTTTTCCTACTTCTAAATCTCTCTTTTTGAATTTTATAATGCTCCCTACCCTGGATGTCCATATGTTGCCAAGTTTCCAAAACACATTTCTAAATTGTTATTATATTACCATTATCATTTTTGTTTAATGATGTTTTTTCCCAACCTATTTCCTTAAAGAACCTCTTTTCTATCATTTAGACTCATTTAAACTGGTGACTCCTGACTTAGTGTCATATTTTATGGATATTTCATGTCAAATTTAAAACTGTACAATGAACCCAAAATGGACAAGCATGTACAGAACAGACCAATGAAATCACCATATATCAATATTTTTGATAGATGTAGATTATAAAATATATGTGAAGAATGTGAATCAGTGGTAAAAAAAATAAAAACAATCATATCAGACGATAAAATGAGGGTCAGTTTATGTCAGTTTAGGAGTTGTTGGCGTAAAAAAAAAAAAGTTTGAGAATCACTGCAGTAGGACATCGAGCAACTCGGTGTCACCAAGTAGGGACCAGAGCCATACGACCCTGTAAGATTTATGTAATACATCCCCTGGTTAAAATAAACTATAGAAAGCATTTCAGCACAGGGCCTCGAGGGCAAGCAGCAACATCCCCAAAAACCCAAATCCTACCACCACCTGCATAACCCTGCACTTGTGTAAGTGTAAACATCTACAGTTACCCTACTAGTCATGGAGAATCTATTTGTTTTTATTTTGGGCGTGGGTGGCCCATGTCTGTCTGTCTGTCCCCCCCCCCCCCCATCCCTTGACCCTGTTATGTTCATGTTAACATGTAATGAATGCAGTGTTAAATGATTAATAATGATGGATTAGATTGTGGTCATATTATTGGACACAAATGTATTTTTGGAATATGTATCATGTGAGCAAAATATGAAACTAAAACACAAAGTAACCAAATAATGCATACTTAGCTGATATTGCATCTTAGTGGTAAAGATCACCTGAAAACTTGCTCAGCTGGTTGCATGTGTAATCTTTTGTAAAACAAAACGTAACAAGTGCCTATATCACTACAAATAGAGTGACAGAGTTCCTTTAATGTTGGAATGACTGAAGCAAGATTTTAAATGCTCAGAATAATTTGAAACAGAAAATCTCATGTTTATCTGTAGTTTTTTTTTTTTACTTAACTGTGTGAAATGAAAAACATCAAAATGAAGTCAACACAGCCAGCGAGCATACAAAAGTCCTTTACAAATTCTTTTATTTCAGCATAATAGTAAGAAGCCTCTCCTCTGATTTTCATATACTTGAAACTAATTGGATCACAAGGGTACATATTAGTTAGCCCATTTTACAATAATCATTGTAACATTTTTTAGGAAGTTATTCTTATGCACTCATTTTCCTACACAAAATAATCAATATCAAGATCCTATCTTAACTGAGGACCATAACTCTGCATGCAAGACTAATAAAGAAAACAACTAATCTGTGATAGCTACTGTTATGCTGTTGTTCATCTAATACCATTATCAATATAATTTACTACAAATACCAGGGACTTCGTATAAGAAAGAAAACATTTTCTTGTGGTACTACTGCCTCTAATGTCAAAATTACCAAACATACTGGGCTCTCAACTGTACTGATCCAAATTGTTCTATCCACCTTCTGTGTCAAGTTGAGGAGAAATAGGCTTTGTCTAAAACCTAAAATCTAGTACAGTCTGAAGGAAAAAAAAAATACCATCTCTCTTTTTTGTCTTTTCTTTCACTCCAGTGTTTACAATTTCATCAGAATAAAAAAAGGTCCTTGAAACAATCATCATAATGTGATGAGAAAATTCTCAGAATCAAATCCTCAGATCTGTCTGAAAAATTAAACCTCAATCTTATAAACAAATGATCTGAGACTCAAGGATTCTATTGCATTTTAACAATGAGATTGATAATACTAAAAACAATAAATGACAAAAAGGTATTAACAAGTGACGTCAACTATATACTGTATTGCCCTTTAGCCATTTCAGTATGTGCTCGTGCCAGCAGTATCCCTTCCACGGATTTGAAATAGTGTTTCCAGAGCAAATTAATGCATTTCTCAAACTTGGCCCCTTAGCTGCCACTGGGTTTTACTTTATCTTACCAAGTCATGTAAAAACTGAATCCCACCTCTGTACACACATAAACCGTAACGCAACTTTGCCTTGATATCACTGGACCATTTCAAAAGAAAAAAATCTTCCCAATAATACTTCTGGTAAAATATCATTTAACTCAGTAATCAGCTACTTATTTGTATCAAACATCCTGTTCATCCTACAAATCAGAGACCAGATAATGCACTCTGGGATTCAACCTCCACATTCAGTCTAAAGCTTATCTGGACCTTTAAATAAAAATAACATTAAAAAAAAGACGTTCTCTCCTCAGCATGATCCAAATGAGACTGTAGTCCCTTGAACCCACCCTAATGGTTTGAGCCGTCTGTTACTTGCTGTTGCGTCAAAGAATGGGTTGTAATGTCTTGATATGTACATGTATGTTTAGTCTAGCAGACAAATCTTCCCACTAACATTTCTGGGTTCAACAGAACAGTTAGGACAATGCAATCACTAGCTCACCAGTCACAGAAAGGATCAAGTTTGAGAAATTTTTCCAACAGGCAGCAAAGTGGCCCCCGATCCACCGGCTTCTTTGCTGTCTGCCCGTCAAAGACTTCTACATAGTACGACCAAAGTTCATCATAGGTAAAAGAAATCGTTTGTTACAATATCGTTTAGTACTACAATGATTATTTGTGTATCCGCACTTACTTAAGGCTAAACCCAATGACATGACAGACATCCATTATTACACACCAACCACATAATATTTGGATAAGAAGGCAATTGTTAGTGTGTAGTAGAGTCAAGCAAGTGTTGATTCTGCTATGGCCTTCGACCAGCCAAAGCACTGCAGTGGGAAACGTTTTAGCACTACCGACTTCTCACAAGGACCGTCAAACTCCCAGGGGCTCCTTAAGGATTATAGACTGCGTTACACTGTAATCAGTAACAATGACCCAAAATATTCATTATCATCAAAAGACAACCTCTCTCGACAGGAGAACACATTAGTCTGTTTTAGCGCCACTGAAACCATCGACATTCTGTAACCATGACAGCTTTAGGATAATAAAAAAAATCAAAAAAATAACCATACCATGATGATGAAAGGCTGTCTCGTTCTAGTAAATACATCTGATCCACAATAATAAACAGTTGAGAAAAAGGCCAATGAAAAAAAAAAACAACAGAAACAAACTAAGGCCACAAGATTTTGTATACCCCCGCTAATCTCACAGTGTGAGAATCTGTACAGACAACATAATGGGAATTCAAGCGGCCCACCTGCACAATTTTAGACCAGGATGTATGGACAGAGCAAAGAGAGACACATTTTTTTGCCAAGTACTGGAGATCTCTGTATATATATTATATACAGTATATATACAGCTGAACGTACTATAGCATGACAACTTGCTAAGGCCTCCCTCCTGTGCCACTTCCCCGAGTCACCAGCATGTCACACCTGACACAGACCATGAGATCCACAGGTGATACTCCTGTGACTCAATGCTTCATGTCTGACACAGTGCCAGTCAACTGCAGGTTCCCCTTCTCGTTATCCATTTCTTGGAAGTCCTGGTTTAATGTCTGATATTACTTTTTTTATTTTTTTTATAAACAAACTCACAAAAGTTACTC